TTTATACCCCCCCCCCTCTCTCTCTCTCTCTCTCTCTCTCTCTCTCTCTCTCTCTCTCTCTCTCTCTTCCTCCTCCTCCTCCTCCTCTTTTCTCTCATTCTTTTTCTGCTATCTGTTATAAATCACGTAAAAAGGTTGCAAGCTCAATAATGTTTCTCCCAGCTCGCCGTGTCGTGTGTAGTGTGTAGTGTGTAGTCATTTCCTCCAGGGTTCATGATAACACAGTTACACACTTACAGGGGTAAGGCCGTCACGGTTCAGAGAGCTCGTGTGTCACCATGAAGCTTCCGGCTGAGAATTTACCCACAATGCTTAGCTCTCTGGGTTCGTGGACAGCTTTGCCCCTGTGCCCTGACTGTGCTCATTTCGAATTTCATATTATAGTGCGGTCAAAAATTCGTGGCGCAACTTATCCTCAAATTAATATCTCTTTAACGGGGGCAACATTGTTACCCATACTTTGCACATCAGTTTGCATCAATTTGTCTCAACTTAATCACCAAACAGAAGATGCCTACAGGACATGGAAAGCTATCACAGTTTGAGCCTTTTTAGCGGAAATTTAGCCACCACAGTAGTATTTTTTCGTAGAAATGTCAGGACATTTATGATTTTTGCCTCATCCTTAATTTTACGATGTCAGAATAGTATTAGCTTGCTCATTATCACATCTGTGAATATTGATATGTGTCACGGCGTGGTGGAATCAGGCTCTCGTCAATTATTTTTTGGGCACGTGGAGTTATTGGTATCGTCTTAAAAAGCATGTTCATTTGTGAACCTTTCAATGAAAAAATACCCATCTATCTTCAGTAGAAGTCTATTATATTTGAGACTATAAAATTAGCAAGAAAATGGCTGCCAACGGTCGGTGGCTTCCATTGCTTGAGAGTCCTTGGAAAGTGAGCATTAAAATTTACATTTTCATGCTTTTGATCAACGATTTTCAGTATCATCCACCAAGAAATGAGTTTTAAAATGGACCTAAAAGGTGTTGAGCCAAACATTAAAAAAAAAAATCAATGAAAATTGCGAAACTGGCAGGAAAATGTTAGTTTCTTCAGTTTCTTTATTTTGACGAGCGCCTGATTTCACCACGGCGCTGCCTCACATAATTATGTTACCTACGTATATACCTGTCCCTCATTCCATGCACCGTGGGTCCAACTTGGGGCATCTTGTCATTTTCTTGTGCCTTCATCCAAGAAATTTCTGTCTTTTCGAGTCTTCTTTTCAAAAAAATAATAAATTTACAATTGTTGTCTTAGGCAGAATTACTTTACAAGTATCGGCAAACGTAACCAAGGATACATGCACAATATCTGGTCGCATTTAAGAACAAGCGGGCTAACCCAGATTTTGGGGCTTTCCAGAAATCTTGACCTACACCAAAAGTGGGCACTGCCCTACCTATAGATCTAGGAGAAGTTTAGTTTCATTGGTGTGTATATTTGTTTGGTTATAGAGAAAACTCCTTGTCTTTTAAAGTAACTGAACAAAGGTCCAAAAACTTTACCTTCGATTTCTCAAAACAGCATTTAATATGGTGTAAAGCGCATAGAGCTTGCTTTCGAGTGGGGATATGCGTTATACAAATGCTATTAATTATTATTATTATTTATTCCTATTCACCAAA